AACCAAAACTTTAAAATAATTAAAGGAAGTACAGATAATTAAGGTTGTTGAGTACAGGATGGTTGTGCGTAGCGTAGAAGCAAAAAAACGTAATCAAGGTTTGCTAAATCAAAACATTTTGATGTTTCATTTGCCTGTGTCAAAGGTGCACACGCAAACACCTTCCCCACATTGTGCACATTACACTCCAGTGAATACAGCCAAGACATTACCCCAAAGTTTTGACATAAAAAAGTATTTTACATATCTTTCAGTTAACAACTTGTCAGAGTTTAGACACTTAGAAATGTGCCACTTGAAACCTTACACGTAAGGAAGTTAAGACAGTCTGGTATAAGAACAAAACGTTCAGAGAAGAGTCTCTTTTCGGCGGCAAATTCATTTACTTTACTGTACAATCGCAAGTATACACAGTTATTTTTCTGTGTACGTGTGTGTATCTGCACATTAGGTTTATCGAACAAGAATAAAAATTAGGTAGGTTTATTGTTTACGTCATCAAAATGTTCCAAGAAATGTGATGAATAATGAAATCGTAACTAGGAGGAGGTGGGGGTAAAGATTAGTAGGTATTGACAAAGGTTACGTAATGTAGATTACTCTCAGAGAAATTAGATGTTAATGTAAGAACAAGGAGATAGGTGTCAAACATAAATTATGCAGTACGTAAAATGATTAAATAGAGGGTTGGTTAAGGGAAAGGTGTTATTAGAATGTCATACAAATATTCAAAAAAGGTTTTATTGACAAAGTAATAGAACTTGGAATTACACCCAAAGTAAAAAGGAAGGGATAGGAAAGTTTCTTATGTGTACATGAATCATGGTTCTTCATTTGAATAGCTAAAATCTCAGCGATGCAAAGTTTACGGAAGGTTATTGTTTTCGGTAGGCTTCTTTTGGCTTTATAGATGACTTTGAATGAATTATGTTGACAAATTGAGTGACCTTTATTGAATTTATGTTCCATTATAACTCTTTATTAATCCACTGTTAGAATGAAGTAGCCAAGCGGGATAATGCTGTTTGACTCTTATAGACAAAACACGCACCCAACGAGTTATCTATCTGGCTGCACATGAGCAGGTGAATCAGTTTTTCTATTCATTTAAGTTCCCAGTGAAACATAGGGCTTCAACCTAGAGGTTTGAAGTTTCTGTTGCAGTGGTGTTTATTTTCACAGGATGAGGTTTCTAGCCTCATGCCCAACCTTCTCTCTTTAACAGTATCAATCCTGACTTAGCGAGGTGAAGAAGTGTGTTGGCCAGGGAGCGAACCCCGGGCAACATGTGTGGTTGGCGAGCATTCTGCCGCTCTGACACTAACCCACCTAAATGGTGTGAATGGTGCAAAGCTACCATCTGAAGAATTAAGACTGAACGCATCTAGGTCTCAATCCTGTCCATATTTCTAAGATAGATACACACAATCTGTTGTCACTCAGCCTTTACTTTCTACTTCTTTTTAATTCTCACATTCTACCTGTTCTTCTTTATCGCCATCTCTACCTTAATCTTTCCTCGGCTACTTAAGAAGCATTTCGTTACACTGCGAAGGGCACTAGGATCTTTCGATAGGGGGAGTGGGGTGTCATTCAACCAACTTGTTGAACTGTTGTGGACAAAAACATGGACTTCTGCAAGAAATGAGCTGATATAATATTGTCAGGCTCTGAGGATTCTCCTTATACGCAACCCCAACTCGCATGTCAGCTGACACAACTAGAAGTAATTATAAGAGCATTAATGTTCAGAGAAGGATGCTTTGTTCACCACGGTTTATATGTAGTCAGAAATGAGTTGTGCATGAAACTAAAAACTTACTGCTAAACACTAAGTAAACGGCCCGTTTTATTCTTTTTTTCATTGATATACTACTGTCATTATTATAATTAACCTTTAAATTTCATATTCCTATTCTTTACTGAGATTATTGCTCCGTATTATACAAATGTAAGAGGAAATTAATGTACTTCATGCTGAAAATTCCATATTGTATCAAACTGACTGTTTGGAATAAAACCCAATTATGATCAATATTATATCCATACTGTACGATGAAAAATAAAAATTATAAAGAAGAGTTGAGCAAAAAATAAGTTTCCTTGTTGACGGATTCACCTAAAAGATTTGTTGAACCTTATTTATATCTGCTAAGATCACTCTGTTATTTAGTGTATTAGCGATGAATGACACATGGCTGGTAACGTTACTCATATTGCAGGAGCTACACTTTTGCAGACACAACCCTGAATAATGTCTGTACCAATTTTTCAAGAGATCATTGTTAATCAATTAGAAGCTTACGTCTCGAGTATCTGGTAGATGCATGCTATAATGTAGTGACAGAAAATCGATTCGATTTGGTCTGAACTCAGGAAACCAATCTCTGCATCCTACTGTATGGATGACAAAATTCCCTTGAGGAACACAGAGTCACAGAACGCTCCAAAATGAGTACTAAGAATCAAAATAAATATTCTTGACAAGGTGGGATGAGAAACTTTGTCCACGAGAATCACAGACTAACACTCTCAGTAGGCAGCTCAAGGTCAGTATGGTCTTGACTCACTCAAACAAAATCGTATCGTAAAACAACACATCATCAATGTATCGCACAACCACAATGGAGTTAATTAAAATTGGAGATTAAACAGAGAAATATGAAAAAAATAAGGATGAAGTCAACATATGATCTGCGGATATCAGAACAGTGATGTACAGTTTAGAAGAAAAGACAATTATTACCGTTTATCTGTGTTCTCAGAGGAATACAGGGCTTCGACAGTACGTCTTCACTTTGTTCTGTTCAGTGCGTTCTTCCTTAGCTGACCTCACGACTGCTCATAATCTCTGATCTCCTCCTCGCACAATCTCCTCCATGTCACCCTAGGACGCCCGCTATTCATTTATAGTCCGGGTTCCACACTAGGCTGCCTAGGACTTAACGCCACATAACGGTCTCCTGGGTGTGTATCTAATCCGTCTCCATTTCATAGGAAAATTTTTTGAGAGACAGGTTCTTCACCGGTTGGATTTAAGGGTTTTCTGTTGCTGATTCTTTCTTTGGACAGTTGTTAATTGAGGTCTGCCTCCTGTCGATGGAAATGCCTTCCGTGATGCGCCCGTCAAATTTCTCACCTAACAGACGAATTGACTTAACGTTAGTAATGGAAATGCGAATTATGTTCCTTGTGCTGAGTTTGGAAGATTTCCAAAATGATTTTAGAGTGATGAAGGTCTGGCCTGTCTTTCCGACTCTGTATGGCTTTGACGCTGTGATCCTTGCCAACTGTCTGTAATTGAAATGATGCCTTCTACATAAACGAGGGGAGCGACCTCTCTCAAATCTCTCCGGCTGATATTGTCTGGTGTATATTGTTGTTGGTTGGTTGTCCTCACCACCTCTGTTTCATCAGTGTCCACTTGAAATCCTGTCTTCACTTCTTTTTCAGCAAGTTTTTCGGTTTCCGTTTGTAAGTCTTTGAGTTTGTGCGATATTAGACATGATTCATCCATGAAGCCCGGATCTCCTAGAGTCTTCTTGTCGGCCCAGCATATAATCATAATAATATATAGCACAAATTTAGTAGGAACATCCAAATAAGTGTAAATATTGTAACTGGATAGTTCTAGAGGGATTTTTCCAAACAATTATTCCTTTACACAAACATTTTCACTGAATACCTCTGCCGAATTTTTTCTATGGTTAAATCTTTACATTAAACTGTTAGAGTTTGACCTTACAAACACATTGTGTCAAATACTATGATAATCAGGATTTTCTTTTCACCGAAATTAAAAACTTTTCTTCACATAAATTATCTTGAGGGATAAATCTGCCTGAACTATTAGGTGTCTTACTTCTTAAATATCACTATACAAAAAGGTTTCCTCAGTAGCACTTAAAATTTACCCCAAAAAGAGACAAATATAACTGTCGAAGCGATAACAGTTAACTGTTAAAATTTGTACATTTCTCACTATATCTGGCCTCAATAAGGATTTTGATATTACTAAGGTTTTATATCCTGGACGGAATAGAGGACACCATCTTGTCCTATATGGAATCATCACACTCTATATAGTGATAGTGAATCTAATAGACGAATCCAAAATGGAAAGAAATACGGATTTGCTATTCTTCCGCTAAAAGCCACGATCTATGGAATAACACCGTGGTTATAGCAATAAAAAATTCAATCATAACTAACTAATCTAACCAAACACTTCGTGGACAAATACTGTTGAAGAGGCCTAAGCTAGGACGAGACAGCTATTCGGTTATTTTCTAATTCTGGATTTCAGCGTTTCTGTAAAAGATATCAGTCGGCGATCAAACGTAATACTCTCGAAAGTGAATCTGGTAATTCCTTAGTGATCATCTACAGGACAAATTTTCCTGGAGTTCCAGTGGGAAGCTTTGATCACTGAAGCCCACCAGATTGGGCGTTAGGTCGAATACTGACTGCTGACATTGGCTGATCCCAGTCACGAACTGGCAGAAACTGGAATTCATGGGGTAGCTGTTGCATAGGGTCCCAATGACGGGATGGTCTACGCTTCCTCCTTATAACTGTATAAGCTTTGTTTTGAAGCTTGGTGGTTTCGTACTGATGAAGAGTCCTAGGCTAGGAGGAAACAACTGTCCATTACTCCCCGGTTTTCAATGGTTCTGTAACCAGTATTAAACCGTGATCAAACCAGAAACAAATTAAATCGGTACAAAATATCTTCTGACAGAATTTTGTTTATTTTCTTATATTCAACCATCATGTATGCACAATAGAAAGGGAGAATACATAAGGAATGAACACTATTCCTGTATGCTGTGATATTAAAAAGACGTAAGTTAGCAAGGAATGTTGTTTTTTTGACCTATATCTTCTCAGGTTTTATATAAATATATATATATATATATATATATTTATATATATATCACATGAATATTGTTCATATCATAATAAAAATAATGTTATTTTACTTTTCTTTTCTTCCCTAGGTGGCTGTTGAAGTTCGAGTGGTATTTTTGAAAATAGGTGAAATTGATACATTGAAAGAATTATACTATGCAGATGCATTTCTGCAAGCCAAATGGAGAGAACCTAGACTTGATGGACATACAGCAGAGGTAGGAGTGAACTTTTATTTAACATTTAACTGTTAAACAAATTGTGATTGACATAATCTGTAAGGTGTATGATAATTATCACAGGAAATTGGATTGATTTAATTGTAGAGGGATGTGGGCGGTGGTTTGATATATGGATATATGATATATATATATATATATATACATATGTTATTACCCATGGGTACGGAGTGGAACACAGAGCTTTAACAAAACATCTCCATTATTCGTCTTCAATTGGACCCACGATTGCCCATATACTTTCATCTCCTCCATGTTACCGTTGAAAACATGACCATCTCTTCGTTTTCCATTCGGCTGCCACCCGAGTGATGGCCTAAGGCCTGCTGTTATTCGATCGTCTTCTCAGTGCCTGTCTGATTTATCTCCATTTTCATCAGAATATTTTTTGAGCAATAGGTTCTTGACCAGTTCGTTCCAAGAGTTCTTTGTCGCTTATTTATCCAGGCCAACTAATCTTCACTATGAAACGAAGTCTGCAGCCTGTTAGAAATGCCTTTCGTGATGTATGACCTAAGTTTTTGACGCATGCACTGATTTGCCATGTAAGTATAGAACTTGAGCACTTTAGTAGAATGTAATTCTATATTAGAGAAGTTTATTTTAATAATCACACAGTGATGCAGTATTAACAAGTGGATGATGTTTTTGAGCATAAATTATTGCTCATATTCATGTCAGTATGGTCACACGTTTTCACTTGTTGTTTATTGCCATTTTCCATATCTCCGGTATAGGCGCTGCGTCATGCCGATTGCATGTGTGCGGTAATTAATTTCTCTATCTATGTGTCTCTCTGTCTCTAACTAACTATATTAACTTTTAATACTGTCACCTTGTCCCACTCACCCTATTTCGTGATCACATGTAAATGAATGCGGTGCAATAACTGAGCTTTTTTCTAGGAGAGACAAAGAGAGAAACAATTATATAAGGTTTCTCATCATGAGCTGACATTAGTTAGAGAATCACTGGAAAACCAGCTGAGAGTACTGTACAGCTGTTTCGTCCCAGTTTGGAACTCTTCACAGTACGCACCCACCGGGATTCGAACCCAGGACCCTCTGGTTATGAGGCAAGTTCGCAGACCACTAAGTCACTGAGACCCGATCCAATGACCCACGAATTCTAAGTCGTGACCAGTAGGGTGCAGCGGGGCGGGTGTGAGAACAAATACTCGCCGGAGACATTGGCTGGGGTTGCGCTATGAAGTGATATGGCAGAAGTTAGGATTCATCGGCCATTGGTTCGAGTCCCAGTGGCTTAATAGTCTACGAGCTTGCCTTGTAACCAGAAAGTCCTGGGTTAGAATCCCGGTGGGTGTGCGCCGCTGAAGAGTCTCAAACTAGGATGAAACAGCTGTCCAGTACTCCCAGGTTTTCCAATCTTTTTCTAACTAATGTCAGCTCATGATGAAAATCCTGTAACCAATCGAATCCCTACAAGCCAACACTTGAAAACAAATATATAAGACGAACTGTGAAAACGTGTAACCAAAATGATATGATTATGAGAAATAATCTATTCTCGAAACGTTGTTATCCAGCTGATAATACTGCGTTACAATGTGATCGTTAAAGTGAACTTATGTAATACAGAATGACTTAACGTGGATACTGAAAATTCGAATTTTGTTGTTTATGCTGTGTGCAGAAGATTCCCATACTGCGTTGGTGGCACAGTGGTTAGGACTCTCGCCGACCATGCACATGGTCCGGGTTTCGAGCCCGCACCGACGCACATCTGATATCTATGGTCAGCCTGCAAAATTTGGGCTACCAATATCCATGCTGAAAATTCCATACTTGTACCGAAAATACAGTGTGGAATCAAGCTGTAAATCAAAAAAAATTACAAAGTGATGAAGCTGTGCCTTGAGCTTCCGATTTCGGTTTTATGCATCCTCATCCGTGCTGTTGCCTGTAGTTGAAACAACGCTGCCTACATATGTGATCAAAGTAGCTTGTCTTAGACGTGTCTCAATGACAGTGATTGATGTTTGATGGGTTTCGCCATCACCAATATATTCTTCATGTTCTCTTCGAGTCCTGTGTTTGCCGCCTACCTCTTCTATCACTTTATTGGTTTTGGCCTGTAAGTATTGGAGTTTATGTGAGATTAGACATTCATCGCATGTGATGTCCACTTTTTCCAGAGTTCAATGTATTCCTTTCGTCTCGCTTCCCACGTACAGCACTCCACATAGTCAAGCCCACCATAATTAAGAATATCATGGTGGGTGATTGTAGGCAACCTTCTCTTACGCTTGCCTTCATTTCAAAAGCAGGCTTCGCTGAGTTTTCCATTGTGGATCACTTGTCAATCATGTATAAATTACGCATCGGTGACACGGTAGTTAGGACTCTCGCCGACCATTCACATGGTCCGGGGTTCGATCCCCGGCCAACGTACACCTGACATCAATGGTCGGCTTGCAAATTTTGGACTACCGATATCACATGCTGAGAATTCCAAACTTGTACCAAAAATATGGTGTGGAATTAAGCTATAATCAAAAGAAAAATAATAATAAATAAATAAGAATATTAAATTAACAGTTATGTGGGAGAAATTATAATTTTTTCCTTAAATTCTTTATATAAACACTGCTTTTAGATAAATAATAATAAAAATAAAACCTTGTGCATTCACGACCTCATCTCAGTAGGAATCATAAAATAGGTGCAATTTTGCACTTTGCTTAAACTTTATTATTAATGGGAAAAAGTCACTTATATTTGTACTAAATAATATGCCTAGCTGATAAATTGAATGGTATCCTCTTTTTTCTCAGTAGCGTGTGAGAGAAACCAGCTGCTTGCAAAGCCATTGTCAACATATATAGTAGAATTCGAGTGTTAAACGCTTGAAAAAACTCAATACTTGCACCTCTGGTTTTTACAGTGTATGAAATTGCAAGAATGTTTATTAAAATGTTTAGCATAGTAATAATCAGGATGTAACTTGCATTAGTGAAGCAGAACTGAAGGGCTACCTCTGTATTTTGTCTACATTGACTTTGGATGAGTTGTTTACGAGTAGAATGCTCACCAGGTTTGTAGGAGGTCCCGGCTCGAACCTTGGCCAGCTTGTAGTAAACCCAAGGAAGTGGAAATGTTGGGTGTGAGGGTAGCAGTGCTACGCCGTAGGAAGAAAGATTGGAGGCCTCTGTTCCATTGTGAAATCAAGGAATCAAAAACAAACAGGCAAACTGCTGAAGCTATCCTAATAAGATATCCCAATCACAAAACTATATCGTAAAAAGAAGGATGCCTTATAATCCTTCAAACTCCTGGATAACATAATTCCTACTTATCTTAACAATTTATTTAACATGCTTTCATGGTGCTGTTATTATACTTGTCTTCTTGGGTTTCGAGTGGAGTAAAGGGCTTCAACAGCACATCCCCACTTTGTCATTTCCTCTCCTACCCTCTTTAGCTCACTCTACGATCGCCAATTGTCTCTCATCTCTTTCCTTCATAGACTCCTGCATGTCACTCTCGGGGCGACACCTTACCTGTCTCTTCTGATTCGCCTTTCACTCAAGGACCTGCACTGAGCGCGATGTTATTCAACAGTTTTCTCAGCGTGTTTCCGATCTATTTCCATTTTTATCAGGATATTAAATGAGCTATAGGTTGTTGATTGGTTCTCTCGCAGAGTTTCTTGTTTTCAAACCCGTCTGGCTATTTTGTCTTCAGTGTGAATCCATAGAATACAGCTGTTGATGAAATTCTGAAGTAGCCTCAAGGAGATGCTTTTCGTGACACATCAAGCTTGTGTTATATTCCACATATTTCTTAATGTGAGAGATCTATTTGTAATGACATTTCGATGTGCTACTTTGACCTGTTTACATAAAAATAGTAATGATAGTAACAATTTATTTCAAGTTAACTTTTGATCTGACCACCATTAGTTAAAAAGCCATTAAGAACCAGGGAGTTCTTGGCAGCTGTTTCAGTCCATGCTGTAACTTTTTGGCAATATGCGACCGTTGCACCAAAGGGCATCAAGCCACTCTCAACCTTTAGGTTACGAGGTGAGACCGTTGACCATGAATTCTAAGTTCTATCATTTCGTGGTATATAGAACCAAAACTGACTAATGAGACACACTAAGTCGGGCGTCAGAAAAAATACTAACCGGTGACATTTAATGCTAGTGGTTATCTTTTTACTCACATTAAGGATTGATGTCCCATCATATTTTAGCCAATCATTCAATAGACAGTAGGTACATGGGCTGTCTTATCAAGTCACTTCATAACCCTTTCAAGAGAGTACTACTGCCTGAGTAACAATGTGCATTTAGGTGTTCTAATTAATCAATCTGCAATGAACGATCAAAGTGATGCATGTGTGTGACTCTGCAGCAATTAATAAATTGAATCAATTCGTATGAATAAGTTTGTAGATTAAGGTCGAGTCATTCGAAGGGTTTCTAGCCACATCTTCTGTTCACAGCAGACGCTCTTTATATCCACAAAGAAGAGATTTATCCAACTCCTCTTACTACCGTATCTTTAAACTTTCATTTTCTGACTTTTACACTAGTTTAGTGTGTAATCCATTTTCATTCCTACTCTCTTATTCTTTTCTTTCAAACTTCTAAGTGTGGAATATGCTCTTCACATATTCTCAGTCCCTTTCTTTTATGAACAACATTCTCAACTTCATGCGCTTGCAGTTCTCATTGATCTTTATTTATGAACCGTATTGATCAGTTTATGTTTTTAAATTAAATAAGTCCACTTAACGAACGTAGTCTTTCATTTTATTCAATATACTACTGATTGACTGTCATGAGTAGTTGTTTACCAGTTATAACAACAAATGGAGTTTTTTTTTGCTGGATAGATGAATGAAGTCATCCAAACACTGGACAGCCGTTCCTCTCGTTAAAGATCAGGCTCATCTTTTAGTGGCGTAGCCGGTGTCATTCATTTCAGACAGTCAGGACAGCGAAGAACTGCTCATTTCCCGCTTCCTTGATTACAATTCCGGGTATCAAGCATATCACATATTTCAGTTTCAAAAAGAAACTGTGGCGAGATTTCACCTTGAACTTTGGAAGCTAAGGACTGTGAATTCAATTAATTTCATTTGCGTGGTGTGTAATTTAGTGTGTTTTGTTACCAATCGATATTAACAATTGACCCTGTAGAGCTTCCTGTGATCTTTTAGGAAACTGTAAAGCAGTACAGATTTGAAATGAATTTATGGAATGAATGTTTGTCATTTTACGTGGAAGACATCAACCGTGAAACTATCACCTTATATCCGTTTCACTATTTTTTTGTTTCCAGACAGTGGTTTACATTGCCTTAGTCTTATAGCACATACACTTGAAGAGAATTCTCTTTAAAAAGGTTGAATTCATAGGGATTAAAGAGACCACTTATATTGTACAGAGGAGTTGGCGTATTTAAAGTAATATTTACAAGCAGTTAGTTATCCATTTTTATAACAAGAATCATTATTATTATTCCATTAGGTCAAAAGCTTTAGCAGTACGTCTTCACTTTCTCCTGTTATCTTCAGTCCTCTTCAGCTGACCCCACGAGCGTCAGTAGAATTTCTTCTCCTCCTCAAACGAGTTTCTCCATATCACCCTTGAACCGATGCCCAACTCGTCGCTTTCTACTTGGGTACCACTCAAATGGTTGCAACGCTGTGTCAAACGACGATCATCTCAGTACGTTTCCGATGCACGAGTATTTACTTCGGCATATTTGTTGGACAGTGTGTTCTTGATAGGTCCGTTTCCAGATTTTCTTGTTGATAATCCTTTCGAGCTGGCCATCTGATCTTTAATTTGGAGCGAAGGCTGCTCTTGATAATGATCATCAGACTGTGACATGTGAGCCATGTTTCTGGTGCATATAGAAGAAACGGCCTAACACGTGTTGAAAATTCAAATTTTTTTCTATATTCTTGATAACAAGAATAAATACCTCATTTTAAATCATCTTTTATTTCTTAGGAATTAAGTATTACCGAATTGGAGCAATACTGGAATCCCTTATTGTATATTGACAATATCCTAAGTGAAACAAAAGAAACCCAATGGATTATGGCTGTTAGAAGTGAAAGCGGAGAAGTCTACCTTATTGAACGTAGACGAATAAAGGGTGTATTTTTAGAAACTCTGGAATTGAATGACTTCCCTTTAGATGTACAGGTTAGTTGTTTTCAGGATGCACTTTTTTAAATACAATTTTGCCTGTTTTCGTATGCATGTTTAGGCATAAAATTGAGCTGATAAGGAATGTGGCAAAGTTAAAATATCAGTGACCTTGAACTACCAATCAGAATTCAGATGGAATAAGTTGCATAATAGTCAAAAAATGCACTAAAACATCGCAAGCATCATATTATACTGTATATATTTGTTTCTTATAAGTTGTGAGATATTTCCCCAGTTACTGCACAGCCGATCTATAAATAAATCATACCATACAAGATAGATGAATTCATCTAGGTGACTGTAGGTAGTAGCACTTTGAGATCTGTTGATATTTATGATACTGTTATTTGACCTACTCCTAACTCTAAGCCTAATTCTAACGTTAACCTCACACCCTAAGCCCTAATCTAAAAAGCCATAACTCTATCTAACAGTATAGATTTACGGAAAAATTCGAATACTGTATCTCTAAGGCAGACAAGAGTTTATTTGGGATGACCTTTCATAGCATTCCCTGTATCTGATTGGTTCTTGAAGGTCAAATCCTAAAGACCTTAGCTTCGGCTATAATACTTTAACTTTGCCAGGATTGTTTTGGTGAATTGCTAATAAAAGAAGTCCTGATTTGAATTCGGTAATTTTTCATAAACTTAAGAAGAGGTATGTAAAAATTCACCAGTTTTTATGCGACAAACACATAGAACAAACACTAATAGGGTCCTAGTGGGTGGTCAGCGTAGAACATGGGCTACTGAAAAATCTTGATCAACATATTGCATGCCATGTCGCCTGTTCAATTTATTTAAATCTTGTACCATGTGACCTCTAATAGTACTGTTTACTTTGCTGAGTATTTAAAACATTTGCAACCGGCTGATTCGTAAGTTTCAAGTAAACAATAGGTAGGAAAGCATTATTCTCGATGGTAGTTTATCCGAATATATAAGATGACCGCTTTGAAGTGGTGTCCTTGGTTCACATAATGTACTCCTGAACTTTTCATAATTGTCATTCAACAAAATTTCATCACGTGTCTCTCGAAGGAGACAAAGAGGAGATAGCATGATGGGGGATTGGTTTGCGCTTCAAGTCAGCTAGAACTGTATTACACGATCTGTTGTCAGTTATGGTATCTTACTTTAAGATCGTGGACGAAGAGAAAATATCATGCAGTAGACTCCGCTGAAAATTCTTTACAACAAAGCATGACCTGTTATGTCTTTTGGTATTCAGCGTATCTGCAGTATGCAGTTACACTGTTATGACAAGCAGCAATTCATGTCTGTCGTTGACAACAAAGATAATTTTACGGACGACTTTTTTGAATGGCTTAATTATTATTATTTATTCCTTGTGTCTCGAGTGGAACACACGGCTTCACTGATGCATCTCCGTTGGACTGGCTTCGCTTGCTGTTAGAGTTCTTTGTTGATAATCCTCTCTAAGAAGCTGACTTTGAGTGTCGAGGGGAGATCTACTACCTGCTGGAAATGCTTTCATATAGCAAGAGGCATTAAGTTAGGGTTGGTTTTGAAAAATTCTAATCTTGTGCCTTCCGTCAAGTCGTTTGGATCTACATTCCAAATTCACAGTAGTATACAACTACGTTGCTCACTCAGTCCTGACTAGTTTTAACATTCTCATTCATGTTAGCTGTAGTTACAACGAAGCTTTGGGGAGAGAATCTCATAAAGCAGTACAGATTACAGAATATCTCTAACCTGCACGAAACATATCAATTTATTCCTGTGCGTCGATGGCACAGTGGTTAGGATTCTCGCCGACCATGCACATGGTCCGGGGTTTGAGCCCACGCCGACGCACACCTGATATCTATGGTCGGCCTGCAAAATTTGGGCTACCGATATCCATGCTGAAAATTCCATACTTGTACCAAAAATACAGTGTGGAATCAAGCTGTAATCAAAAATAAAATAAAATAAATATATATTACATAGTGAAATATCTATAGTAATATATATATATATATATGAGACATGTCAGAGAATTAAATTTGCATTGTCGATGAAATCATCTTAGGAGACTGTAGAGTGGTATTCATATCTACCAAAACTTAGAGTAGTCCATTATTAAGTAATAGGGGGATGATATGATTACTAAGAATTGGCTTCGAAAGTAAAACTAGAAAATACGTAATACTTAGTAACACAAAGAAGGGATTCGGAATTTGATAAGATTAAAATTGTTATTGAGTGAGAACATTATCCGGAATGGTTAACAAGAGTATACTGCAAGACAATTACTGAATTCTCGAGCACTTGGTGAACTCAAACTCCACAGCTTCACCAGATTCGTCTTTTACAGTTATCTACAAGGTGAAACTGAGTGGTACAAATGGCGTAAGATTTCAGCATTTTACATCATGGAGGCTTCAATGATTCTTCAATACAATACCGAACTCTATTCCTTTTAGTGCATTTACTCGCCCTCTTCACACTTGTTAAATGGGCACTTAACTACTTGTACTGTCCCTCACTAATGATTTCAGTCTTATCAAGATTCTAACCTTTAGCTTGTTTCTCTGTGCGGTTGAGTATTACGTAATATCTAATTTGGATTTCGAAGCCTTTTCTGAGTAATTATATCAGTTATGTCAATCCCCTATTACTCAGCAATGGATAAATATAAATACGACTGTACAGCCTGTGAAGATGATTTTCTTCTCTGAATTGTCTTTTACTTTCTTCTTAAGAAAAAATCGTTTGTCTGTAGCTGCGGGTTGTCTGAACACCTCATGCCATAACTATTTATTAGTATTATTCTCCTTGGTTCCGAGCGGAACATAGGAATTAAACAGTACATTTCCATTCGTCCCTTTCTCTACAGTCCTCTTTAGATTCCTCCACTGTTGCCCACAGACTGTCCTCTCCCCCTCACACGACCTTCTCCATATCATTCTCGTACCTACAAATATCTGGTTGTTTCTCACTAAGGTTCCACTTTCAAGCTTACACTGTACGTGATGTCATTCTACGGTCTTTTCAGAGTGCTTTCGACCTATCTCCATTACTTTAAGAACATGTATACATGTACGTAGGATTTCTTGACCTAATTGACTGAGATATTTCAGTAAAAAGGTTCATTAAATGAATAAATATCTGACTACTGTTTCAACTTTCAAATACGTATTTATTAAGTTGAGTTTGGCGGTAGAATTCAGAAAAGACGTTCCGACATATCTTAGCTTTAGGTCGTGTCAGTTGGAGCCTAAGTATATCAAAATACCGCTTAAATAAATGATGAATAAGAATTGGTCAAATGAAATTAAAAATGTGCCGACCATCTTTCGTGCACATCTGTGTACGTGTTCAATGAAAAACAAGAATATAAAAAAAATCCATAAACCACTATGGAGACGACCCTAATTCTTTTTTGTATTTACAATCTTATGAAGAAGAAAGGTTAAAATAGTGCGCGCTATGTAAACATTATTTATGTTCGAATATATAGCGGAGTTATAAGTTCCTAAATAATATCCACAGAAAAAATCAGGAAAATACTAAAAATAGTTTGGTGTTAAAAACAAGTCAAGGAAATGTAAAAACAAATTTACTGCTTCAATGTATATAGTAATGCATAAGAGTGAAGTGCTTTACACTACCGAGCCAAAATATGATGAACAACACTGACATACTTCATTCAACCTGATGAAGTTGTATCAAATTCTGCGTTACCTAAAAGCTGGACACAGTCATCAATAAGCAGTGGTATTGTGATCATTCCTAAGTGGGAAGTGAAATATGGTTAAGAATTGCATTAATTGCATCTAACTACCACCTACATGCAGGGAGGTAAAGTAGTCACCATGATGATCAATTATTAATATTACATCGTAGAAATAGATGATTTATGTCAAACATTTATTGTAAAATATGTACGAATGCAATTAAGCATAAACAAGGAAGTCAGTAGTGAGTATAAATCTTCACAGAAATTTAATGTCCACTCGTATTCATGAACTGTTTATTACATGATATATCAGCTGTCCATCTTCTAGAATGATGATTTCTGTTAGATTTGGAATGTTTTAGGGTAATGACTTCAAGGGACATTTTTCTCAGACTTGGAAAGCGAATGGCTGAAATTTAAACATAGGAACATAGATACTTTTGTAGTACTAAAACGGGATCTACACAATTCATTCCTGGAGAAAATAAACTGTGTATCTCCCAAAATCCAGTTCACTTCGGAAGCAGAATCAGACATCGGTGAACTTCCATTTCTAGACTGCCTAGTTAAGAGAAAGGAAAACGGACATTTTAGTATATCCATATTCAGGAAGAAAACCCACTCCAACAAATATTTAGACTTCAAATCATCACACCCCATCAGCGCAAAGATTTCAGTTGTTTCAAGTCTTCTTAGACGAGCACACTCCCTGATAACAGATGAGCAAGAAAAAGAAGAAGAAATTTCAAACATCACTAAAACTCTCAAGCAAAACAACTACCCAACGAACTTCATCAACAAAATCAACACAGACATTAAGTATGGCCGAAAATGCATTCCGAAAACATGGACTTCAACAGTCGTCATTCCATATAGAGCAGAGACATCAGACGATATCAGAAGAGTACTTAATCAACTCGACATTAGAGTTTTCTTCAAAACATCGGACACACTTCAAAACAACCTTGTCCATATAAAAGACCAAATCCCGAAAGATTCTCTATCTAATTGTGTCTACAAAATAAAATGCTCGGAATGTGATGCGATCTACATCGGACAAACATCTCGAGAAATCAAAATCAGAAGAAATGAACACCGTAGAGCTTCTCTTCGACCACCAAGAAATCCAGTTGAACTGGAAAAACTTCAAAAATCATCAGCCATAGGTCTACATGCTATAGAATCAGGCCACAAAATTGATTTTGACAATATTGAAATAATCCAGAAAAACTTCAGAAACCACAAAGAACGTCTAATATCAGAAGCACTTCATATCAAGTGGAATCCAAATTGCCTGAATAGGA